CGCCACCAGCCAGTGCCCCAGGGGTTCGGTTTGGTGCCGGAGACAAATGTCGCCTCGGTGCCAGGGGGATGGCTCCTGGCATGCCCCGTTCTCGGAAGGGAGGAGCGGGGGGTGCCCGGCGCTCGCTCGGTGTTTGGGGGATTTTCGGTGGAGTTCCCATGGGTCCTTTCTCACGGGTCGCTCCTGCCGCGGGCAGAGCCGGCAGCTGCAGGCAGCGGAGGCAGGCTGCCGGCGGCAGGAGCACCGGTGCTCATGAGGGGTGCTTGGGCACGTCAAGGCCATGCCCCGTTCTCGGAAGGGAGGAGCGGGGGGTGCCCGGCGCTCGCTCGGTGTTTGGGGGATTTTCGGTGGAGTTCCCATGGGTCCTTTCTCACGGGTCGCTCCTGCCGCGGGCAGAGCCGGCAGCTGCAGGCAGCGGAGGCAGGCTGCCGGCGGCAGGAGCACCGGTGCTCATGAGGGGTGCTTGGGCACGTCAAGGCTGAGTTTTGGGGGTGGCGGGAAGGAAGCCCAGCCGGCTCCCGTGGGGCGAGCGTCCTCCCGGGCACGGGGAGAGGGGGGGCGGGCACTGACCCATTTATCAAGGTCACGGCCGTGGGCAGCGCAAAGCAGAGGCGATGTGACTATTTCTGAGAGCTGAGGGAACTTCACTGGCCTGATTCCCATAAATAAAACATGCAGGGAACAGCCCCTGCTCTGTCCTATTAATTCTGGACCCCAGAGGCCCGGCTCTGTGTGCATCCGGCAGCTCAGCATTGCCTGCTCTGCTCCCCTCTCTGGAGCCTGGCTGGGCTCAGAAAGGCTCGAAAGCCCCCGGTTTCCACAAAATGCCGAGTACGAGCGCTTTGAGGGCGCTTTACGGAAAACTCATTTGTTTTTTGAGACACAGAGCCGGCCGGGAAGGATGCTGGTGTGCGGGTGGGGTCGGGGAGCAGAGGACAGACTCGGCCCGCTGCAGCCCCCAGCCCCGCTCCCCGGTTTCAAGGAGCCGGAGCTGTTTCCCCCCGCTGCCCTTCCCCATCTCCCAGGGAGCTGGGTGCCGGTGCCCCTCCGGCACCCCTCTGCCCCCGGGTGCTCCAGAAGCAGATGAGCTCACATCGGCTGGTTCCTCCAGCCCCTCACCGAAGGCATTAGCAGAACAAGGGAGTTTAATTATCTGGGTTTTCTTCTAGGAGGGCATGAACCTGTCTCTCTGTTGAATTTATCAATTGCTGCTAGATTTTATCTCTTGCTTTCAATTTGCTTGTGATGGTGTTTTCTGCACCGGGGGCATCATGTCAGCAGCTCCCCTCTTTGCACAGTACGGACACAGTAAATGATCTCACTCTTCCCTCCGTGGCGTCAGGTCCTGGGAGCTTCCTCTGACACCCACCCCACCCCACCCCACCCCCCCACCCCCTGCTGCTCACGC